AAAAACTCAATGTTCGCTATCGACCGCGTACCAGAATACGGCTGTGGTACAGAATAGGGACACGGTTAGTGTTGTGGGTGGCGGTAGTTTAAAAAATGTTATGCGGGTGGAGGAAGATTCCACCGCCGAGATGGAGATATAAACACCACATAACCAGTCAGCCTGTGAACACGGGAAACTAGGTAGGTGTGAAAAATACCTATTCGTATGTAAACGCGTTTATTCCCGTTTCCAAATGTTAATACAATACAACGCAGAAGTTTAAAAGTATATATAGCTTTACAGTAACGCAGAAAGTGCAATATAACACTAGTTCTATCTGTACACAAGTTGAAGAACGGCCACAATCGTCGGACACTAATGGCGGGCATTAACATTAGCGCTGATTAGCTGAATGTGCGCCGCTGATAAATGCTGCACTATGAAGATTAATATTGACTAATAGCGACGATATTGTTCTGTTCAATTACAAAGTGTAGTTAAGTTGGGAGTTGGTAATTTGTAAATTATGAAAACTTACAATTGCCGTAGACGTGCTCTTGATTCAATAGTACATATGTGGCCAGGACCGCCATGACGTTCGGTGTTTTGTTCATTATATTCCATGAGTAATTATATCCTTGGAAATTATATTAAATGTTTTATACCAAGTAAAAATTATTTGTTGTTATATCTCTCATTATACACTTTATAAAATGATTGTCAAAAAGGTCATAGTGTTCATTATGTTATTAAGAATATTAAAAAAATCAAAAAAGGACTAGTAGCAAAACAAAAACATACGAAAGTTAATAGATAGGTAGGTAATCATCATTTGTAGGTTATTATACTAATGGAGAGCGCAATATATTTTTATTTTTTTATACATATATTTAAAATATATTGTGCCAGAGCCACTGCGTGTTGATCTGTGGGAGTTAATTATAGCTGCTTAACTTTCTTGGAAATCTTTGTTACATTGTAGACTCAGCATTGAAAATATGAAATTATTTATTATTTGATAAAATAATGGGTACTATTGAAATAGGATGGCATTTGTCTAGCCTTAATAGGACTGTCACGAGTGTTTAATAACAGAAAACTGACAAACCATGGCAACACAGCGAGTATATATAACCACAAATAGAGGCGAAATGTCATTTAATGTGTTTGAAAACTATTCTGCCAAATCATTACATGATTGACAGCTGCGCTCCGATTGGCCAGACCAAATTAGAAACAATTGACGGGTGTCGTCAATCGTTTCACTTCAAATCGACCAGTTTAAAAACAATAGCTATAATTAACAAAATTGAAAATTTGCAAGTTAAATATTTAATTACCGATAAAATGTTTGTTTTGTAATTATATGTTTTGTTGTTTTTCCCACACCAGCGAGTGGAACAGAATTGATGCGGATGCGGATGCTTTAGTCATGCAGATTATACGCGAAAGCGGATGCCGATATTCGCAACAACGCTGAACTGAAGCGCGGCTGGACAAGCACGATGTCGCGACAGCGTTATGCTTGGGCATGCTTAACGATACCGCGTCATAATGGTCGTCAGTGTGCGCTTGCATGTAAGAATGCCGAAAGACCACTTGCCATGGCGTCTCTGGCTTGGCTTTATAGGTAATAAGCAATGGTCTGACAATAGCAATACATGTATAGATATAGCTACGAGGAGCGACATAGAGTTCTTAACCACCAAATATTAATTAATTACTTTTTTCCAATTTCGAGATTTCCGGAAAGAGAGTTTCTTTCATTAAAATAAAATTATTAGATTTCGAAATTTGATATAATTTACATTTAGGAAATTAAATTCACAATAATCATTATGAATACCATTATCCACTCCGAGTGCGTGCCAGTGCCTGTGTTAATAAGATTAAAAATGTAAACTATGTATGATCTTATTAACACAGGTACTCACAGGCAATCGGGGACACAGATAACGAGGGGCGGAGAGTGACCATTGTCGTCACTTTTTTATTCTCTGCCTTGGTTAAAGGTCAGTTATTTACCGCATTTTTACATGACACCATTAGAATTACTTTAAAATCCAACTTCGTCTTCCTAGGCCACTAGTTTTGTCTTACGATGCAGTAAAACTATCTCCGGAAATCCCGAATTCGAAAAAAGTAATTAATTAAGATTTGGTGGTTTTAACAACTCTATGTCGCTCCTTGTAGCTATATATATCTGTCTACATATGTGGAACACCTTTTCTGATCATTGGTAATAAGTTAATAACGACTGTTCACGTAATTAGAACGATACTGAGTGGGAACATTAAATTACGAGAGATACGATTAACACGTCGACGTTCCTCTTATTATTGCTTACTAATTGACCTATTAGATCAAGAACACTACTTGATAATATCGTGGTTATTAATATATAACGTAAGAGTTTCACAAAGTTAAATAGCCTGGAACAGTAGGCGACGACAAGGTACTAGAATTGAAACCTAATTCAATGAAATAAAAATACAAGGATTTCAGTTTAAAACTTGAATACTGTTTAGACTCATAAGGTGAATAACATTTTGACTATGTGTGCACGGTGTATTCTCCTATAAAGATAGAATGTCCAATAATGCGGGTTGAATACTTCATAGCTATGTTCCTCGTAAACATTAAAAGTGGAGTTACAAGAAGTGTAATGAACTTAATTGCATATTGCTTAGGAATAGTGGAAAAGTGAAAAGGTCTAAAAATTAATGCAAGATGTTTTATATTGTTTTTTCGGGGTACACAACCTTTGGCTGCTCTTTTTGTTTGTTCGGTTTTTATTTTTAATAGGGTATGCTAACACATGCACGTTATTAACAATAATATTTATTGTTATAGTAGGCACTATTACTTTTATATTTTATTAACAATAATATTTTTTAATAACAATTATAAATAAAAATGCTACGTTGCTTCATTATTAAAGAGTGGTACCTACAAGTAATAATAAAAATAATAAGTCAGTTTTGATCGATAAGGGTAGATAACGGGTCAGATTAGCATGGTTTCCAGGATGCATCCCCATCAGACCGAGTTGTATCATCGCGATGTTATTCATTCGGTTTCTGGCGCTTGCACTTGTCGTAATTGAATGTGCTATTCAGCAAGAAGCACACTCAATAACTTAACCATGAGTCGTACTGTTTGCTTTATACTTTCTCAAAGTTTTTAAACAATAGCATAAAAACTGGTAGGCTTTTGGTTTACATATGAAAATACGTTATTTGAACCAATTTCGCCAGAGTAAAAACTAAAGGCAATTATATTAGACACTGATATCGAAAACAAAACTATACAGAGTTTATGTTCCTAATGTACGTTATGTTTTTTTTGCAATGTGGCTGGGATAATTGTCTATGGGCCCTTGTCATTTCCTCATAACGTCATTTTCTCAATCTAAAATATTTTATAAGACAAAGTGATTTTAAAAGGTTCTGTAAGTTTATTAACCCAAAAGGGTATTTTTTCTATTATAATTATTGTTCGTAATGTGAAGAGTAGAATCGGTTAATAAACGAATCAGAAAAAATATTTATGGTCTATGAGATGCCCCTTTGACAGTGAGACTTGTTTGTTCACATTTTTAGTTCTCATGACAAATTTCAAATTAAATTTCGCACAAATTCTGAGAAACTCAGAGGTCTGGATTTGAACCCACGACCCTTTGCTTGAGAGGCAGTAGGTCAAACCATTAGGCTACCACGGCTTCATTTTCATTTCAATTTCTTTAATGGGGTAAAATTTTAAAAGTAGACAACCCAGAATTTATAGGTACTCTGATCGTATCCCTTTTGAGTATACGCGAGAAGCTTCTGTATTCTTTTTTTTATTCTCCCTGTACACTTCGTGTTCATCTCAGAGTATAATACCATATCAGCCAGTAACCGTGACCATGGAACTTGTCAAGAGCCCGAAACCTTGGAGTATTTGAAAAAAAAAAACCAAATATATGCAACGTTTCATTTCCAATATGTAGTAATCGCGATGACACAAAAACCCAGAGTTAAGAAGTGTTTGTATAATATACAAAGTATAACAAAAAGGTTTCACCACATTGTAGTCGGTTTCAGTACATAAAAATAAATAAGTACTTGGTTCCCTAATAATGTACGCGGTCAATTCATCGGCAAGTGATATGGGGTTTCTCTGATGGAACGATTTCCTAATGAAGTCATACGTCAGAGAATTAAAATCACCGCTATAGCTTGTAAGATTAAGTTCAAGTGGTAGTTGGCTGGATATATTTACAGGAGGACTGATAACCGATGGAATAGACTTGTTCTGGAGTGAAGGCAAACTATGTAGGGCGCCCTGCGGCAAGGTGGATGGAAGACCCAAGAAAGGCAGCCGGCAACGTCTGGATGCGGGCAGCACAGGACCGGGAGAGATGGCGTGCTCAGGGGGAGGCTTATGTTCAGCAGTGGGTGCATTTAAGCTGATGATGATATGAGGAACCAAAATTCCTATTTCGGGTATTTAAAAGACAAAGGAGGAGGTTCTCAATTGGACTGTATGTTTTTTTGTATGTATATTACGCGATGACTTCGGAATTAGTGAATCGATTTTTATGATTATTTTTTTGTTGGGAAGAAGGTATCTCAGTAGTGGTCTCATTTAAATTTGAAGAAAATATTCCTCTAAAGGTGGCAACCTAGGATATGACTCGGGTGTCGCGCATTTTCCGGTAGCTGATTTCAATAAATCTTGAGAAATACATTTCATTCCACGCATTTTTGAGGTCGATTTTCTTAGTACTCTGTACTAAGATTATATTGAATCCTGTATAGTTCAGTGTACAACGTGTTATGAATTCATTATAAGCTTGGCGATCTTTCACGTGTTCTCACAACGTGCTTCCGAAGACTTTCTTCGGGTGTGGGGTATTTAATAAATGACATTGATTATATATTATCACGAAACTTCACATTGATATTTTTATTTTACTTTGCATATGGAACTTCACTTTGTGTGTGTATTCGGTAAAATGATAATTAAGAAATTACCTGTTTTTGGTTATAGAAGAATAGCAGTGGCGTTATTGAGAGCGCTTCAGGAACTTAGCTCTACTGTTCTTCGCCGGCTCTATTGGATGTTTTCAGGACAAATCTGAAAATAAGAAACAAAAAATAACTATAACCATATAATCCACGCCGGAAAAATATTAGTAAAACATGGTGAAAGGAAATTCTCGTTTAAAATTTATTTCATAAATGTATATATACGTTTATTTAATTCAAATGGGAATTTTTAAAACTTGGAGAGTCAAGACTAATTAAAAACACGATGTAATTAGTTTTAATGTTCACTGTGGTGGCTTTTAAAAATAAATATATTATATAAATGAAATAACTATGATAATTAATTTGGTAATTGATAACATGTTATAACATATTTTTGATACCGTTATTTAGTCAGTTAGTCATTAGCGAAAAGCATCTTTCAAGGGGAGTTATTTAGAACTAGTTCGCTTACCACTGTTAACCTTTAACCTGAGATATTGATTACTTTACATTTGTTTAGTAGCCTTATTTTATAACCGACTTCAAAAAAAGGAAGAGGTTCGCAATTCGACTGTATGTTTTTTTTTGTAATTATGATACGCGATATCATCGGCATTTCTGAACCGATTATAAAGATTCTTTTTTTGTTGAAAAGTGGGTAATCAGTAGTTTTTTAAGTAAACCATTTAAATTTGAAGATAATATTCCACCTAGGGTTTGCCGTCCTTAGAGGTGTTAGTTTGAGTGACTTTTAAGGCCGGTTTTTTAAGTATCCTATACTGAGATTATTATGATACCTAGTAACGGAACGAAAAGTCGTGCACGTGCGCACTCAGAGCATTAAATCGCAAAGATCTAGGAGGCACTGCCATTGTGCCCGTCAATCTTGGATATAAGTGAACAAGTCCCATGTGCCTGTAATTTCACCAGCATTACTGCTTGGCGGCAGAAATAGATAGGATGGCAGTACTTTCCTGGACGTAACTGTTTCACAGGGAGCTCTACTGCTACTGAATGGATTAATCACATACACATTCATATTGATAAATTTCATTCATACATTCAGAGTGCTTAGGTGCACTAACAGTAAAGTAGTAGCTCCTTGTGAAAGGTTCGTCCAGGTAAGTACAGTTTATTACCTTTTGTATTTCTGCCGCCAAGCAATAATGTCAGCATTTACTATGTTCCAGTTCTGAAAGGTAAGGGAGCTGGTGAAATTACAGGCACGTGGGACTTGTCAACTTCTGTCTATGATGGGCGCAGTGGCAGTACCCCTCAGATCTTGCGATTTAAAGCTCTAAAGATTTTGGCTCGTACTTAGTTTGTGCGTTATACAATTGGACATACATTTCATTATCCTATGTAAATATCGTTACAAAAATTCGCTTCCATTCCATTCCACCGCAATATAAATTGAGCCTTAAGGTTACTTCAGAAATTTAAATTTCCAATGAATTACCGTCACGAGCAAAGTAGGTATTTAACTAAAGTCAATGCCCTAGCATTTTTTAGAGATGTTTATAACTTATTTGTAACAGTACATCTGTAATAACATATAAAAAATACATAAATCATTATACCTACTTACGGCTATTTCATTTACAGTCATTTAATAAACCGCATCATTAGAATATGTTAAAGTTTAACTAATAGATTGTAAATAAATCAGTATGCACAGAGGAAAACAGTATTGGTATTGTAAGTAGAGACATCAAAAGTATCTAGGGATCAATTATGTTCTTGCTAAATACTGAAAATTAGATTTTTTGATGTCTTTTTAAAACACTAATGGATTTGTTTTTGGTCAATTTATTTTCAAATTCAAATTAAACAATTGACCAAAATAAATCCAACGGTGTTAAAAAATTTAATTATAAATCCTGAGTTTCGCTTTTGATGTGTGTATATTCAATACTGTTTAATTTTTATCTGTGGATTAGAAACTTAACACCTTAATCTCTGTTTAAATTGAAATAAATATTATTCCTGTTAAGCAACGACTGGATTAGATGAACGGTTGAATTTACGTGTATGACTTTGTAAATAATAATTGATTTGAAGATCCGCGGTCATTTCCAGTTGCATTGGATTGTTAAACAAATACCTCTGATCGTCCAACTAGACTTGCGCTGTGGAAATTTCGGAATAAATATTCACAAAAGGAAAACAGTTCCTTTTTCCATGATTTTGTTTATGATTCGATATAGAACATGCTCCGTGTTACCCACTTAAGTTTACATAAGATACAAATCCACGAGTTGTTTCTTGTAGCGTGATGTAGTTCTTGGTAGCGTCGTTAAGTAACAGTACATAATTCTCTACGGCTCTCGAGAAGTTATACCATTCTGTTTACTTCTTCTTATGGACTCGATTGCATCTAATATCTAATCTATATCTACTTCTTTAATATGTATAGATATGTCATACGACAATAATACATATCATTCCTCTTTTCTATACGAAAAAGAGAAATAATGTTTATATAGTAGTTTGCGAATATTTAAAAATAGTGAATTCCAACAATTATAGAGTTTTATACAATTTAAATGAGTATACTACGCCGACAAACGCTTGGCTTTTAAATTTAAGGAGAGTAAAGGAAATAGTATACTTTTTATAGTCTTTAATTGTGGGTCTTATACAAAAAACTGTAATGGCGAAGATGCATTCACTGTATTCTTTGCAATCATCTTCAGCTGACGGACATTTGGGCGTTGACATTAGAGCTGAATCTCAAGGCTTTCACTACACGACGGCGCGTGAAAGCTTGCGCAAGCCATGTATGCATTTGGTTGTGTACGGGTGAGAAGTGTAAAATAAAGCGGTATGCTTGCAAGCAGCGTACTGTTTTCCCATTTACAAATTAGTACTTGTCGTGTGCAAGTTTACACGCGATGGAGTTGGACCGTGTAGAAGGACCTTTACGCGGCAATTTGTCGCGGGCCGTGCTACCTTCTAATAAAACAAACTTTTATTAAGTGACATCATAAATCCCGTGCAGTGTATTTCACCGCTAGCAAATAGGATATTCTGTGAGTGTGGTAATCGGCACAGCAAATAAGGGAAAATGTTCCCGATCTTCAATTCATAGCTTTGGCAAATAGCGAATCCACCTGCCAATTATTACAAATCCTCCTTTTTACACGATTACAGTAAAACCTGAAGAAGTTCCGGTTTTGACAATTTATTAGTAGTATTTATATGATTATTGGTATTCTCTTGTAGCAAAAAAGACTAGGTTTTATTATGAAACTATTCTGAAACCGGGTCACTACTACGAATGTGGTGGTGTGTACAAATTTGAATTTGGAATATGTACGATGCCTTTTTATTTGTAATTGGGCCTTTGAAAGATAGAAAATATATCTTGTTATTATTATTGATAAAAAGATTGAACAATCACAAAGAAAATTTTTCTTCTTTTTTTTACAGTCCGACTCAGTACGAAACAACGTGTGTTGCCACGACGACGTGGCAACTGTTAATATATATACGTGGCAACTGTTAGTATATTATTGTCCGTGGAACTACTAATAGTTCTGCTGGTAGTTCCACGGGCAACAAAGGAACAAAACTAGTAGAGCATTTTGACAAAAAACAGATGAATGTCATGGCAGTACAAATATCAAGAAGATATACAATAAAAGTGAATATTGCAAATAAATCTTAACATTTTATGCAAATCTGTTTTGGATAGGCATAATGTCCAGTGGCGAAACGATAATGATGGTTTGCGATTGACTGATAATTACAAATAAAACCAAAAAGTGAAGAATGAATGTTTCTTCCCACTGCGGCATTCTCCCGATTACTTTGATGCTGTGATGCTATAACATTGTAAAATAAATACCTTCTTATTAACTTTTATGTGCAGTGCGTTTTATAATCGAAATATAAAAAGATTAGCTACCATTAAAATGTTATATAAGAATCATGTAAGGGTTCTTCAAGCTCTAAGCATGTTAAACATTGATGCTGCAGAATAATAGTTACAAGTTAACGCAATGTGGAGTTAATCGTGCGAGGCTATCCACCGCGACGTAATTATATAGCAAGTAGTGAATTGTATTATCCCTTCCTGTTCGTATGTAGAAAAAAATGTAGTAGAATGTTGCTAATGGCAACTTAGATTTAACTTAAAGTGTGCCGACGCGGTGGGTCAATAACAAGAAAATATCGGTGAAGTGTAAAATAAGAATGGCGACAATGAAATAACTTCACGTCGATACCTCCAATGAACACTACGTCAACTGTATTTTTTTTGTCAGTTTCTATTATTTTTGTAAATAGCTATATTATTTACTAACATTATGCTCCCCGAATTTCGTGAAAAAAAATAAAGAAACAAAAAACAAGATTGGAAAAAAAATTAAAATCAATTTTATAAAAAAAAACAAAATAAAAACAAAACTGGTCCAAAAATTAGGTTAGTGTAGTGTCCATTGGAGTTTATTTTTAACCGACTTCAAAAAAAGGAGGTGGTTCTCAATTCGACTGTTTTTTTATGTATGTTACGCGATAACTCCGGTATTTGTGAACCGATTTTGATGATTCTTTTTTTGTTGGAAAGAGGGTACCTCATAGTAATTCTATTTAATTTTGAAGAAAATCATCCGCCTCTAAGGGTGGCTGTTCACGCATGTAGGTTCATTTTTATAAATAGCGCCTAAATTTTATTATAAGGAGCAATTATTTTAATGGTTGATTTTGCTATTCTCCAATTCAAGGCGTTTTTCTCTCTCAATATACTTTGAGTAGTGAGAACCGATTTTTATTACCTCCTATGTTCCGTACAGTGGCGAACGAGGGAATGAATCTGGGTTTGCGCACTTTCCGGTAACCGATTTCAATAAAACTTGGCAAATAGATGTAATTCCACTTACTTTAGAGGTCGGTTTTTTTGGTACTCTGTACTGAGATTATATTATACCAAGTGACAGAGCGAACAAGTCGTGCGCTTGGTGTCAAGCGACATGCCTGAGCATAGCAGTTGCAAATAAATCACAAAGATCTGAGAGACACTGCCACTGCGCCTGTCACCCTGAGATATAAGTTTAGAAGCCCCATATGCCATTTCACCAGCACCCTTACCCTTTAAAACCGAAA